ATCCATGAGGGAAGCAATATACTACAAAAAGGAGGAAGGTTAGGAGCTGAAATTATAAAGGAGGGTCAGAAGGAGAGGAAGGATTTTGGTAGGGTAGGTTTTAGTGCATCCTTGTCAATGTTTCCTTCTCTCCCAAACATAAAAGAAAAACAAGGGGGTAGGAAGTAAAATCATGAATCATGAATTTTCATTTTCATACTGGTAAGACTTTTAGTGCCAGCTTTTAGCTAACACTTAAATGGCAATTTAATATAAACTTAGTAATGAATTTTCCCTCCTCCATTATAAATCTAACTAAATTGTAGCGTATTAATGCATTAAACACTGTCTGCTAATGTTCCTGTCTCTGCCCTACACACATTACCAACTTTTTTCTGAACCTAATTCAAGATGTTGGTTTAAACTTTTACAGTCCAAAACAGATCAGTTCCCATTCCCGTTGTTTTTAGAAGCCAAGTAAAGGTATATCTCTTTAAATCAGTATTTAAAATGTTGATTTGATCACTAATATTGTGATGTTGGTAATGATTTTGATGATGATGGTTTTAGTGGCTTTGTTATCTGATTTGTTTTAATCTTTTGTAATTATGCTTTTTAGCTGTCTTGGAACACTTAGTGGAATGCTAGGACAAACATGTAAAAGAGTTTTTTAAAACCTCATGCATCAGATTCTATTATCTGGTGGTCAGAAGGCAGGAGTAGTTATTCCCACCTTTTCCTCCCACTGCAGTCCTGCCTACCTCCTACATCTTGGTTTGTCTCCATAGGCTTCTGCTTGCCTCCTGGTGCTGCCACTATCCACTGCCTATGCACCTGTCCTTTGCTCACCTGCCCAAAAGCCACTTAGCACTTGATGTAGCAAGTCTTGCTTTACAGAGGAGGTCATCAGGCAATGGTGTGAAGTCAGACAAGCAAGGAGGAGTGAGAGAGAAGAGATGGGAAAAGGCGTGGCAATGGCAAGGTAAAGTGGCAGAAGAAAGAGAAGAAAATCAGGTAGCTGGGGCAGAGAAGAGTCCTCATCACTGCTGTTTTGTATTCAGTAGGCCTTGCCCGAGCTACTAATCTTGCTTTGCATTGCATTACTTTTTAACAGTGAAAGACACAGAGAGATAGGTAAGACAGGTCTCAAAGTGATTCACAGAATCATAGAATCATAGAGTTGGAAGAGACCACAAGGGCCATCCAGTCCAACCCCCTGCCATGCAGGAACTCCCAATTAGAGCATCCCCAACAGATGGCCATCCAGCCTCTGCTTAAAGACCTCCAAGAAAGGAGACTCCACCACACTCCTACATAAATGACTGAACTGACTAGCCCTAACCCTAACCCTAACCGGGTTACCTGAGCTGGCTTAAAATTTAAATTGAGCAGCATCCTGATTGTATCACAAGGATTTAGCCTCCTAAATTGCCGCCTGGGTGCAGCCCGGGTCCATCGCCAGTCCCAGGGCACACCGGGGGCCATTTCCTTGAGCTGAAAAACTCACAGCTTCGTAAAAAGCTGTGCTGTACACCCCTGGGAACAGTAATAGATCTGGGTTGCACCCGGGTGGCAAGTTTGGCAGCTAAATCCTAATGACAAAATCAGAATGCTGCTCATTGTAAATTTTAAGCCAGCTCAGATAAGATGGTTTAACTTGCTTATGCGATAGTCTCCTGAATGTTCATGTTCTATGAGGTGAGGCTTGCTGTCCTTTAACACTGAATTTATTTCTGGGGAGATTTGAATAGGCTCAGTT